TTGCTTGCCTTTCAATTTCATTGAAGAGTTTAAACAGTAGTGGCAGTAGTTCCTCTCTAAATGTCTTGTAGAATTCAGCAGTGAAACCATCAGGAACCAGGCTTTTCTTATTTGGTACGTTTTAAAGTACATTTTCAATTTCATTGCTTGATATTGGGTCATTTAGAATTTTTAGGACATCTTCGTTCAACTTTGGTCATTCATACTTACCTAGGAATCTGTCCATTACTTCTGTGTTTTCCATCTTATAGGCTTATAGGTTTTCGAAGTAGGTATTGATGGTCCTCTGGATTTTTGCTGGGTATGTTGTAATTTCACCCTTTTCATTCCTAATTGCATGGATTTGGGCCTTTTCTTTCCTTTTTCTGATAGGCAAGGGTTTGTCAATTTTGTTTATTCTTTCGAAGAACCAACTCTTGACTTCATTGACTTTTTTTTTATATCGTTCTCTTAATCTCCATTGAATTGAGTTCTGCTCTGATCTTTATAATTTCCTCCCATGTATGAGCTCTGGGCTTGTCTTGCTTTTCTTTTTCTAGAAGCTTGAGGTTCAGCATCAGGTTAATTGGGCTCACTCTGTTTTCCTAATATGAGTATTCACTGCTATGAATTTCCCTCATAAGACTGCTTTCATTGTGTTCCATAGATTTCGATATGTTGTATTGTTGTTGTCATTTGATTGAAGGAACTGTCTGATTTCTTCTTTAATTTCTTCTGTGACCCATTGGTTATTCCAAAATGTGTTGTTCAATTTCCAGTTGTTTATGAAATTCTTGCAGCTTCTTTTGCTATTGATCGCCAGTTTCATTGCACTATGGTCTCATAATATATAGGAGATAACTTCAGTTCCTTTGCACTTACTTAAACATTTCCTATAAGGGAGTATGTGGTCTATTTTGGAGAATGACCCATATGCATCTGAAAAGAATGTATTCTGATTTTGTGGGGTGAAACATTCTGTAAACATTTGTTAAGTTTATTTGTTCAAGAGTTTGATTGAGTTCTAGTATTTCATTGCTTGTTTTTTATCTAGTTGATCTATTTGTGACAGTGGTGTATTGAGGTCCCCCACTACTATTGTATTAGTGCTTATTTGATTTTTTTGTCCGTTAGTATTTGTTTTATATAGTTGGGCACACTAGTGTTTGGTGCATATATATTTATGATTGTCATCTCTTCCCCTTGAATTGTTCCCTTTACAGGAGTGTAATGTCCTCTCTTAATCACTGTTGGTTTGAAATCTACCTGATCTGCAAAGAGGATAGCTACTCCTGCTTTTTTCTGGGTTCCTGTTGCATGGAGTATTGTTTTCCACCCTTTAACTTTCAGTCTATGAATTTCTTTTTGAATTAAGTGTGTT